TCCCCCCCCCCCACGAACGAGCCTCAACTGCACGTATTTTTTATTGTATTCTTGACAACGAGCAGCAACAGACAAACTCATCGTTTGAATAGTTTTCTAAAAATATTATGGGACTTTTTGCTCAATCGATAAATGTAAACTTAAAGAACAAAATTTATTTTTTAAATCCTATAGAAAAAATCGGCTGTTTTTCTCTGTCATTGTATAGTTAGGATTAATGTCGTACAAATCTAACAAAAGCTGCCCGGATGTATTTCCGTCTGACATCCCCTGACAAAAGAGCTCCAATGTCGAATGAGCCCATCCTAAATCATTCGCTGACAAGGGGCCGTAACTCGCCCACCTGTCCAGCAAGGGACGTAAGCCGGAAGTGGGTTGTACCAATATTTACTGCCCAGTCCCTAGCATCGCATTACCTGGTGGGGGGGGGGGGGGGGCGGAGTATTGATGTAGAACCTGATAGGTATCGTTTACCTGTTGCTTATCTGGATGACATTCAATTATCTCCTTCAATTAATTTGACCATCTCAGAGTGATATGGAAATAAAAAATTATGAATAGGTAAAATTACATTTGTTATACAAATAAAAAAATTAACAACATAAATGAAATAATACAGCGTGTCCTCCCTAACGCGTGGCTTGTGTACGTTTTTTTTTAATTTTTTATTTATTTTTTATTTTTTTTTTAAACGGACTAGAGACATTATTTGTTGAAACCTTGGACAAAAGCCTGCTTGGTTAATGTAGCTGTCTTGTAATGTGAATTTGCGTTATTCCCCCCTCTTTCCCTATACCCTCAGCCTTACACACCCCCTCCCCCACACACACACACACACGCACACACACACACACACACACACACACACACACACACACACACACACACACAGCCCCTTCCAATATTAACACTGTTCCATGCACTCAAAAACGAATTTTCAATATAAATTTCTCTGCATGTACTATACTAATGTACACATTACACCTACAGTTAAAGTGGACTTTCAAACCTTTAAGTCTTTAAGTACTGGAAATTAAAAAAAACAAACAAAAAAAAACAGTTGGAATTTGAACGATAATCTGATTTGAAACCTCAACTTTTAAAACAAGCTGCATCACTCTTGCAAGAAAAATAAACATAATAATTTCTGAATCACCTCCCTTGAGAAAATAGCTCTCGATAAAGTCTGTCACAAAGCCACTAATTTGATAGTTTCGTGAATTCGTTCTAGATTTTAACTATCCGCGTTTTATTATTAGACAAATAAAACAATGTAAGATTGTATCCAATCCTAGGACACCAAATTAGAGCAAATTTTTTAAGGGCTGGCAACCACACAGCCACACACCCACACAACTACACAACCATACACCCACATCACCATTCCTCTGACTAACTAAATGTGTTAGTCACCTTGACAATTGAAGACCACAGGGGGTAAACCACACTTGTCACATTTTCTACTTTTAAGAAAAATGAGATTTTGTGTTTGAGATCCAACGCTGTTCCATTGTGGCATGGTTTTAAAATCCTAAATATCGAGGGGATCTAGGTGGTTTTATGCTTTCATATTGGTATGTGTGAGAGATATACACTAGTACCAGTGGCGTAGCGAGGTCGGGTGTCACCCAGTGCGGCACTTAATGGTGTCACCCCCCAGAGGCATAGCGACCCTTCCCGGGGACAAACTTTCAAATTTTCGATTTGCACCCCCCTCCCCCTCAAACTTTCGATTTGCACCCCCTCAAACTTTTGATTTGCACCCCCCTCAAATTTTTCTCTATATATTATACTGTTTTTTGCGTTGGTGTCACCCCCTAAATGGTGTCACCCAGTGCGCCTCTGACTAGTACTACATGAATATGGCGAGAAAAAAAAAGTTGATATATGTGGTTTATCGAGTGTTGTCTTCAATTAAATTTAAAACAATGAAACAATGATTATTTAAATTAATTTCCATACAAAACGAAATAATATTATAATAAAACACTTGAGACACAGAAGAAATGGGGTGTCGCTGAAGATGATGACACCCATTCGTCGTCTGAAGGCCATCCGACACCTAACAAACAACTTTTTTTTTGTCTTCCTAATCACACCCAACCACCCGCCAACCCGGTGCCACCAACCCGGTATACACAACCCGCCACAAAACCAACGCAGCCCGTTTCAACCCTGCGCAGGTCACCAACCGCCACCACATGCCTTTCTCCACTATAATGAGACATTCACCTCACACATACACACATATCCCACGACCAACGTGACACACACTACCCCCCCCCCCCCCCACAAAAGCGGAACACACAGCCCATTCCTCAAAGGAAATGTAATGGAAATCTTATCGCCAGTATCGGCTTTGATAGATTAATTTCATTGAGCCCGGCCACATAATATAACAGTATTTTATACATTTTATAGCCGTGGACACTTCGGGAATTCCCGAAATATTAACGCGGGATAGGGTTTCTTGGTGGGTGACACTACGGAAATACCCGAAACATTAGGAGGCGAGGTGGTGGTGAGGGGGGGGGGTGACTCTATTAAAAAGAAAATTGCTGAAAAATAGAGCGAGACGAGCAGACGTCTGGCAGACGTGTCTAGAAGCACGTTGTCAATGGAGAATGGTATAAATCTGGTTTAGCGAATGGATTTTTTAAAAAAATTCATTCTGACTTTTTAAATAAATGTATTGTAATTTTAGAAAAAAATAATAATTATAATTAATTATATTGCTTAATTCTACTAAATTATTCATTAACTCAAACCACTTATCTTAAAGGCCTATGTATTTGGTATTTTTCCATCAGTCCCCAAGTTATGCGGCTTATTAAAAAAAAATCTAACATGCAAAAAAAAAAAAAATTCTTATCAATGTAATTTCCCAAATGTTAGTCGAGATGAAAGAAGATTTAAATTTGAATTCTACACACTCGCTGGGAGGTAAATGGGTGCAGGTAAAGGGATACTACTCGATGAAGGGAATAAATAAATAAAAAATATTATTACCTCCCCTGCAAAACCGCGTTGACAAGTCTACATTCCCTTCACCTGTGTCACCGAACAAATGGACGCACCAACACTCGCCGTTTAGACATTAGTGTGTACGTACCCGAGTAAGTATAAATAAATAATAAACCGGGAGTGATCTCCCCTAAACTTTCTCGAATATTCTTATATAAAACAACAGGGGATGGGAACTCGGGGTATAGACATGATTTTTAATCCATTTTAAATACTTAAAGTTTTAAAAATAGAATAAAATCTCGTAGACAAATTAATTGCACACCAAGTGAACGCCAAATGAAAAAGTGCATAATAGTGCGCAATATTATTAGTACTTTAAAAATTTACATTCGTTTTTTTGAGAAATTGGAAGTAGCGTAAATTACTACTTCCGGTCAACGGAAATTACTCAAAATTTAACAGAAGGTAGAGTATTAGATCTTTTACATACATGTGAAATTTCATTTATGTATCTGAAATAGTACTCAAGTTATAGGCTTTTGAAAAATTCAAAGTACAAAAAGTACCACTTCCGGTTATCGGAAATTGCTCAAAAGTTAATACGGATCTACGATTTTGATAAAATACTTATATATGAAATTTCATCAACCTAGCTGTAACGGTACTCAAGTTATCGTGTTTACACACGGACACACACACAGACAGACAGACACACAGACATACGGACAGAATTGCAAAGCCCAGTTTTTCAGACTGGATTACGCATAAAACCTCTTAATTTTGATAAATCTGGATTGATAATTTTTGCCCGATTAAAATAAGTCCTCTATACTACGGATGTGATGAAGGACTGATGTATAATACGGTGAAAATAGTTAAAATTTCAAGTGATTTTTGTGCACGATTACAATACTTTCTCTATACTTCGTATATACGAGAAAGTAAAAAACGACAAGTTTTTGAAAAAAAAAACCTAAAGCGTTTGTTTAAAATGTACAGAACCAAACATCCACAGGCATTATAATATGTATTACATTATACTATGTATAGAACTTCCCTTTCAGAAAAGAAATACAAAGAATCCACATAATTTAATAGGGACTGAGTGGTCTAGCGGTAGAGAGTTGGAACTTTAATTACTTACTTAACATAATTTACAATTCAGTCATTTATATTTTGAAGTAAGTTTATAAAAATACACGAGCTCATTCAGACAATTAGAAACTAATTTAAAAACGGCTTTGCACATGATTCTACTAGTCACAGAGTAGTATAAGTGATATGTGACCATCGGTGGATCCTTTTGTTGTGGGGCGGGTCGGAGGTGAATTTGTTAAGTTGCAGATAAATCTCGATCCCCTTCAACACTAATAATTAAGAACGAAGAAGAAGATATGACAGTGCGATATTTACCTGGATGTGGGATGGGTTTAGTTTTTATTTACTCTACAAATACATTTTTTTAAACCTTGAAGTAAATAAAATAAATACTCCACCAACGAATCAAAAATATTTTAAAATTGTTTTACCTGGGATATATCCCGAACACACAGAGTTGGACAGATTAATCTTTATTTACATTTAAAGATTTAAATGTTGTGATTTTTGTTTACATATTATAGATTTGAGTTATTATGTGATAATTACAAAAAGCAACCGTGGACAGCAACGATATACAACAATTATATAAAACAACTAAAGACAACATGTATAGAAACCAACTATAAAGAACAGCTAAGGGCAACAAAAGACAACCACTAAGGGCAACAATTATGGGCAACAACTATAGACAAAAACTATGGGCAACAACATACGTAGACAAAAATGAAGTCACCCGCTTGAGTTTTAATTTAGTGTTTTTCTAAAACTTCATTTAAAAAATCTAAATCAGACTTAGGTTTTTAAATCCTAAAACTGCGAGATTTCATTGCAGACGGCGCGAGTCAGGCCGGCGAACAGGTAGCTTGAAGAATGTCTCTCTCCCCGCCGTAGACTGTCCCCGTCTTACCCGACACACGCGGGCTAGTGTCGATGGCTGGCGTGCTGTGTTTTAGTGGTGTGTCGCGTCCCAAGTTTGTACATTTCCAATTTAATCGCCTTTTGTATTGACGCTGGCGGGGGATAACTCTCAAGTTTTTTTTTGATCGTGTATCAAAGCAGTGTGTGATGCAGAGAACTGTGGATGTTCTTGTTTCTATGTGGATTTTCTAATGTGTAATTCTCAACATTTTCCTGTGGATATTTATTTATTTGAAATTATTTCTAATACCAAGTGTGTTTTTGTTCAATAGTCACTATAGGATCACTATAGTGTCACCGTCTCTAATCCGTTAATCCTGTTTTGATTAGTTTGTTGATGACCTGGTAAAGAGCAGAGACAGATTAGCTTTATTTATAACAACAACAACCCATAATTCAGAATTTTAAAAAAAAAATCAATGTAGACTATATTTAGATCTATCCTACCTATTCATTTTCATCATTCTAATCAAATCACTAATCTACAGAGTCTAGGGTTGAAAACTGCTTTAGTTAAAATATTTATAACTAATTATTATGCAATCTTCTAGAGATATTGTTATCGTTATCATACCATCAATAACATTAGCCCGTTTACAATTTTTTTATTTGTGTTTATCAAAGTTGATATGGATTTTTAATTTCCATTCTCAAGCTGATAAAATGATACTATTTTTAGTCAGCCACCACACATTTCACATTAAATTACCGAATTATTATCTTTAAAATATTGAGATGTATTAAATCTCGTCAGTCTAATACTACTAATAAAAATGATATTTTGAAAAGGCTTAATTTGAAAAATAATAATTTTGTCAATCGCTTACATTACCGCCTCAAAAATTTTAGCAAAAGTATTATTATCAACTCAATCTTTGAAATTTTTTTTTGCTCTGTCTTATTAAATTCTTCAAACTACTTTTCAAGTTTTAGCACATTTGTAAATAATGGAATTCTTTGTGTTTAGACGGGCCGTTCTGTTTTGTTCTGTTCTTAAAACAACTAGTACTACTTAGTGAATTATGGGTATTTGGATTATACTTTTATATATACACGCGCATACATGTAAACATATGCTAATTATGTATACACACATCCACATGTAATAACAAGTTTTGTTAATGCCTAATAGCTTCTTTGACAGCCTCAGTTAAGTATGACACTACAACAATACTGTCTAATTAACAAGCGTTCCCTGTATTCAATGGCACCAATGTTCCATATCAAATATCAATGTTCCTATTTCAGTCACTTCTGTATGTTTTCTGACGGTAATGATACATACATTTTTTTAAATCAATGTTCCCTGACATTCCATTTTAGTCAGTTCTGTATGTTCCCTGACAACCGTGTTCCATTTTTTTAAAATTCAATGTTCTCGGGCATGTTCCTAATGAATCACTTGTGTTTGTTCCCTAATCCCAGTGTTCCCTATGTTCCCCGAGAGCTTTATGTAACTGTTAGCACCCATTCGGATTGTAAACTGAAATATCACACTGACATAATCTCGCTAATTAAGTTTTAAATTAGATTGCCGCATTCTTGACTCAAGTGGACTAAGTTTATCTTTAAGTACCGTTATATAATACTTTATCAAGTGTTTAAAAAATCATGAGCAAACGGTTTCCTTCTAATCCATGTTTTGTCTGTTGGGAAACTAGATGCCCTGAAAACTGTCGACACAGGCTCGACGCTCAAGTGTAGAAAGACAGGGTTTCCAAGTGTCTAATTTCAGACGGTCCATATCTTGACATAAGTGTCAATGTTGGTGTCCTATGACATGGATAAATGGCATGTGTACCATCACCACCCCGACTCACCCCCGCTCCTGTTTTTGTTAACTGGGAATTCCCGAACCGTGAAATATAATTGGTACTTTTCGCACTTTGGTGTGAAATTTCTTTTTTTTTTTTCAAACTCCCAATTTTCAGTTTTTATTACATTTAACATGTCCATGTTTTTAATGGTCTCAAAAAGACGTGACCTTTGTCTGACCTCGCATTATATGACCTTTGTCAGGTCATTAGTTTAAGGCAATCGTGATGGCTATATTTTGTCCAGTATGATCGATCCCAAATCTTTACCACAAACCCTCACATAAGAAATTCCCACTAATCCTTGCATGGAACGTTCACGCAAATCCGTTTGCTTACATGTTGTGCTTTACATTGTGTGCTTTATTACCAACTATGCTTTCTAAACTCTATCGTTTGTCGAGGTTTAATACATGACTTAATGCATGTTCTACCAAGACATTAAGAAACAAATCATTTTGCTTTTAGTCCCATATAAACTACACAGAAACCCATTGAAACCAATTCCTATAATTTAAAACTAATTTTATAATTTTAACTTATGTGTATGTGTATTTGAGGGAAGGGGGAGGGGGCGTGGCTGAGGGGAGGGTGTCTGCTGGTTTGAACATACCGTAACTTATTGCGCAATTAATAAAAAAATATTTGAGAGAAATAAGCCTTCTTCTTCGTCTTCTTTCTTAATTTTAAGTGTTGGGTTTGACGATTTGAACAAAAAGTATAGACTCGAGAGAGTTCAACCATGAGCTTTTGCCGACTCGAGGGTTCGAGACTTTTCGGTTTAGCAACTATGAGCTTTACTGACTCGACCACGCCGACCCCTTGTCTGTAGCTAAAGTTCTGGATTCAATACCTATAAACTCTAACAGCTAAATTTATTTTAAAAGTAATAAAACCCCCGACAAAATAAGAATTCATGTTAAAAAATTCTGTATGTTTTGTTTGTTTCAACATTTTATTTTAAAGTATTCGTCGAACTGTTTTCTTGCTCTCTCTTTGTTTTCATACTTTCAAGTATCAATTAATTTTTTGTTTCCTTACAGCTTGTTAATGAAATTTCGCTCAAATGTGTGTAACTTAAAAATAATATTAGATAATAATAATGATAAATTATTCTATATTTTCAACTGAATTGCATTTTTAAAAAATTACATTGAAGCTCAAAGTTGGCTTCGAGTAGTAGTACTCTACTTACTATGTTATTTTAATATCTTTTACTACGAGCATTTTATTTCGAAATTCAGAAAGTTTTGAACATTGTGGAATAAAAATTTGATAATTTGTAAGGTTATCGACTTCCGGTCGCGTATCTTTGCAATCTATGGACCGTTTCAATAGGTTGCGTCACAACCATGACAGTTATAGAATGTCGGCCTGAATCATTCAGACAGGAAGTTGTACCTTATAAACACACCACAGAGTCAGATGTTGAGATAATCAAAATCGGTGGTTTATGACTAATCAGTATTTGTAAATTTGATATTGATCTGGATTTTAATTACGCTCGTTGTTTAGGAGCTCTAACGTTTTTTTTTTTAACTTTAATGTTTATTTATGACTTTAAATCAGGACTTTGTATATACATTATATTTATTCAGTCTTGGTTGTTTTCGGTTTCTGTAAAACGATGTTTACGGTACTTTTGGCATTTTGACTATTTGTGTGTGTAGCCTTAGACATTTTACAGTGATTTTAGGCATTTCACGTTTGGGGATTAAGGCTATTGGTGTGATATTTGCGAGGCGCTGTACCGTGACGACACCAACAAAATAAAAACCTCCACAAAGTTTCATCATCTCTCTCATCACAGCCCCTACAATTTGTGTTAGATTTTCCCCCATGTATTTACATTTGTTTAGGTTATAAAGTGTCTTATCATATATTGCGATAGACATACACTGTAACAATATAGTAACAGTAACGTCAGCGACTGTGTAACAATACATGAACGTCAAGTAACTAGCTATACAGTAGGAGCAAGGACCCGATTGGTCAGGATTTCTATATAAAAATACAATATTGTAGCATCTAACCTTGGCAAATATGATATTGAAATAAAATCGGTTGTGTATTTTTAAAATCTCCAATTCCTAGCTATGTGAGCACTTGACATTTTTCTCATTTAACGTGCTTTATCAGAACCATAAGGCTGTAACTCCAGTTACAAAAATGTTCATTACAAGGATTTAGCGTTGATCCTACAATATTTATATTAAACATTTGGTAAAAATGTTGAGAGATATGACCACGACATTTTTTTTTTACCAATGATTCCGCATTGGATTTAAATCATAATGGAATATAAAGCCAGAAAAATGAAGTCACACCCGTCTAGGTCTGGGAAAATGAAATATTTCCTTCACGTTAATCCAGCTTTGATACCCTCTGTCAACATTTATGCTTTCTGTAATCTCGCCTTGGCGCCTCTGTGAGATACATTTTATCAGATTTCTTGGCCAAACAATACCAACCTAGCTTTAGAAACCACCGGGTATTCCCGATATTTAAGACAAAACACACTATTTTAAAATTTAGCCTATGCTTGAACTTATGGGCAGAGTCTAAAATATTTGATACACTAACTTAAATTCACATGAATATTTGATACACTTTTGCCACACCGACCCCTTTTAACTTTGACCCCAATGGCAGATACATTGACCCCTGAAAAATATATTTACCCGTGTAATTTATTAGCTAAACTAACCCCTGTTATACGTGTTTTGCTCAATTGACCATTGTAACACGACATTTACCGAACTGACCCCTGTAACACCATATTTTCCAAACTGACCCCTGTAACACGACATTTACCGAACTGACCCCTGTAACACCATACTTTCCAAACTGACCCCTGTAACACGACATTTGCTAAACTGATCCGTGTTACACTTGTTTTGCTCAACTGACCATTGTAACACGGCATTTGCCAAACTGACCCCTGTAGTACGATATTTGCCAAACTGACCCCTGTAGTACGACATTTGCCACACTGACCGCTGTAGTACGACATTTGCCAAACTGACCCCTGTAGTACGACAATTGCCAAACTGACCCTGTAACACATTTGCTAAGCTGACCCCTGTAACACATTTGCCAAACTGACCCCTGTAACGCGACATTTTCCACAGTGACCTGTGCCTGTTTGCAGGTTTCGCCACCTGTAAAACCCAACGCTGCTCCACCAGTTTTTGATAACAGGCCGGATTACTTTTATCGAGGCGCGTTCATAACTGGCGGGATTAATTTTATCAACATGGGTTGATAACAAGCTGGATTAGTTTGATCAACACCGGTGCTGTATGCTGAGTGACAAGTGTAGCATTCAGATGTGGAACACACATTCCAAAATAGTCGACAGATATTAGATTATCTATTTCTGACGTCACGCGAGCGTTTAAATGAGAATGTTTTGCTTGGAAATAATGCGAAAAAGCTGTTTGAAGAATTTTTGGGTGAAATATTTTCTTTCGGAATGTTCCAAGTTGTAACTTTAGTGAATGCATCTAATCTATTTACAAAAATTTTAGT